ACTCATCCTCCCATGTCAGGCAAACATCTATGCTGGTCTGAGAGCTGCTGCACAGACCTGAATGCAGCTAGGCAGGGACACAGTCAGCAAATGTTGTGGTGGGTACAGGATATGTTGGTAAGGAAGGCTCTCCGTTTCCAGGACTGTGATCGGTGACACATCTGAAATGATGGAGCTGTAATTCTAGTACTGGGAGGTACTGATACACAAACTGTTTGAACTGTACTGTTCTCCTTTGTTTTATTACCAGAACTCCTAATTGAATTATAGCCTCACAGCTTGTTGTTCCCTACTGTTTGTTCTTTATGCAAACTGTTTATGTGTCATCATGATCTAGAGCTATTTTTGGCACAGCATTAATCTTTTTGTAATGTGACCTTGCCCCGTTAATATTTCCTCTGAGAGTTTATGAGGCGCTTGTTGGCTTTGTGCTCTGTAGCGCTGACTCCAGCTCTCTGAACACACTGTCTGCCTGTCCAAGTGTGAGGGTTCCGCGTGGATTTCTGGTGACCTGCTGGGCTTCAGTAATTTTTGTTTATGGTGGAAAGGGTGAAAAACTCCAGGCGGTGTAATCAGTCTGACAGCCACTTCCACAGTGTCTGTGGTATCACAATGGAAAGTGCTGTCAAAACAGCAATGCCGTGAGGGATATTAATGACAAAGTTCAGATGAATGGGTCTTTGACTATGCGTAGTCCGATGACTAAGGAGTGGCTGTGCTGCATTTGCGTTTGTAATGCCTTTGCATGGACAGTAGTGGAGTGGGGGATGCTCCTTTGGAAACATATCAACAGTAAAGCAGTATTAATGCTTTAGTGAGGTAAGTAATCTTTCTCAGTCCTTCCAGCACGACACACCGAAAGAGACTGTTTCTCAGCTTGCTGATGCTTTTTGTGTTGCATTCAGTTTTCTGCTTCGTGCTTTGTCATTCCCATTTCAAGCTTGTAATTATTCATTGTGCACTTGGAGAAAGTTTGCCTCAATTAATGAGGGCTGTTCCAATTTAGATAACAAGAGGATTTTCTGCTGGAATTGACATACTCAATTTTAATACTTGTTAATGAATACTTTTAATCATGTTAATTATCAATGTGTAATCATGGAACACTTTGATATTACACTGTCAGATAGCAAAAGAAATACCAAGATAGGTATAATCATCAAGTTTCTGTAGCTGTAATGGTCCTAGAATATAGGCAAGGCCAGGTTTGAAGGGAGACATACTGCCTTGTCTTGAACTGATCAGTTGTAGCTGGAAAACGTCCAGGAGGAAAACGTCCTCTACAGGCCTTGGAAAGATCCATGCCTTACAAACTACACAAATGCCCTCAAGGCAGATATATAAATGCTGTTGGTTTACTTAGACTGTGGATAGAACACTGCAGACCAGAAAGGGAAATAAATGCTCCTGATCCTCAGGAGAGCTTGCAGTTCAGCACTCCTTTGAAACTCACAGCTGTCCTCCGTGGCTGAAATGAGCTGAATGATATTTGTGGATTGAAACACCGAAAATATAGCTGGATTAAAACTGGAGTCTACCGTTTTTAAGTTTTCCTCTGTATTTTAAAACAAAAGGTGAAAAAAATAATACTAGACTGCAAGGTCTAAACAGGTCTCAGATGGTATGAAACACTCTTTTAGTTACATTATTATAAAAATATTGACATATTTTAATACCGATATTTACATTGAAAGAAGAAAATTTCTAACTTTTGTCTACGTGTTGCTAAATAGAATTAAAAAATGTAATTCTTAAAGAGCTTTGCAGGCAGTATGTGACTGTATGTATCTATGTTTGTTTATGCTACCAAAATCTGTATGGTAATTTCTATATAGATAGATTAAGTCCTAAGCAGTGTCCCCAGTTAAGGGGAAAGAAAGGTAACAAAACAAATTTTCCAAAATCTTATTTTGCAATCCCACCATCTTGTGGCAGTCTGCAGTATTGCCTTAGCATTCGGTCAGCAGAAGCAAATTTTAAAAAAAAAATAAAAAAATAAAAAAATTGCAAATGTGTCCCCGTCTACTGATTTGCACCTGGGTTTCTAACCCCAGCTCAGAAAGCACCTTTCTGTAGACTTGTATACGACATGTACTTCAGGAGGCTAGTTTGAGAACACAAGACTTCTTATTGTTTCCTTGCTCCTCAGCATCCTGCCTTCCCATTTCTCTCTCAGTTTTTCCCTGGTAGAGCCACAGTTTTTAGCGCTCAACTAATCCTTCGCAGTGATAGTCTACCAGTACTTCACACTGAAAGGAGAAAGTTTATAATTTGCATCAGTTTTCAGGGCTTTTGTCCCCTTCTTCAGCTTTTTTATCCTCCATCTGCTGTGCCCTCAAGGAGCAAGTATTCCACTTCACACCAAGGGACTGGTGTAAAATTATTCTTATGTACTACACGAAGCATGATCCTGGCAGTACAAAGAAGGGAAGATGATATTGCTTAATGCCCTCACTGGGAGACCTGTGTGCCAACTTTTAACTGTTCTTCAGTAATTTCTCTCACTCAGCCTGTTTGAATCTTGTATTTTGGAAAGGCCTCTCTGGTTTTATGCAAATAGTCTCTGGAAAGATGTGGTTTAGTTCTTCAGCAAGGCCTGGGGAGTTTCCTTGTTTAAATAATAAAAATAGTAATAATAAAATCTTCAGAAAGACCATCAGTGCTGAGTAATCAGAGTTAAATTCTCTGCAGATTGATGGCCTGTGCTGCCTTTCATGCTGCAATGTAGGGCACTATCCTAAGGCTGCCAGTTCACGTCTGCTCTCTGTGGCTGCTGCTCTCCTTCAGAGTCTGAGTAGCAAAAGTCTTTCCCTCTGTATTTGCTTTTTTGCTTCCTGATGCATCAACAGCTTAGGAAGCTGAAGATCTCCCTGTAAAATTTGGTTCTTGGATACGGCTGAATAGTGGCAACTGCCTGAGCAAGCATGCCACGGTTGTGCTCTAAAAACTAGTGCCAATGGCGGCAAGACATGTAAGCAACTACCTGAGAGATTATTGGGGTCTGGGGTTTAAGCCCTTGGGTTGTGCGGTCTGTAAAGAGTTTTGTTAGCCAGGATGTCAAGAAGAGCTTCAGTTCACTTAGTTTGCATCTGGATTGGGAATAGGTAGAAGGCAAAGGTTAGAGGCCAAATCTGAGCTAGCATTTGAAATCTCCTAAAATAGTGCAACTATGTTTAGTTTCATGTATAGTACTGTTCCTTATATATGTTATATATGCATCCAAGGAGCGGGGTGGGGTAAACACAGGATTCCCATTTTGGATCTAAGCCAGTCCACAAGGAGAGGGTTGCAATCAAAGGATTAGAATGTAAACCTTCCTTAAAAATGCAGATTTGCATTAGTGCTTTGTTTATATTGTTTCTCTAGAAAACGCTTTTTGGAATTTTGGCTGGAAATTATTCATGATTGAAATAGAAATGTTTTCTGGGAATTTATGTTGAGGAGGGTTGTGGTGGTTAACATTTAAATATATACAGTGCTTTATTATTTCTCTTTTTCTGTTTTGACTTAGATTGCTCACACCATACCACGTTAATCTAACGTTGCTCCCATCATTCTTGTTAAGATTTAACTTAGTAAAAGCCATTATTGTTTTAACAGATCATTCCAAAATAATGATTAACATACCTCTAGCAAAGCTTAAGTGTGTCAAATGCCAATGGTTCCTTTGAGAGACTGAGTTTAGAAAATGTTCCAAGTGTGAAGCCTTCAAAGAAAAAGAAAATACACAATAATGCACATTTTAGAAATGTCTGTACATTTTCTTTTTCTTATGAATGAAATTAGCATAATTTAGTATCTGTTTTTTTGATGTTTCAGAAGTCAGAGGGAAATATATCAGCTTGCAGTACAACTCTATCTGAACCAGGGAAAGCATGTAGTAAGGATTTTAATAAATGCCTGAGTAGCTAAACCCAGGGATGAAGTCAGAAGTAATGCAAGAGAGATTTCTTCATGCTGACTTGTAGCTTTTATCTATTTCTATTTATTTCTTTTCAGGGAAGAACTCCTAAGTTACCACAATGTAACTTTACACACCACAGAAACATTTAAGCAAGTTTTATTGCGTACTTTGAACTTGTCATTTTGATCTTTCTCCCCATCTTCTTACTTTTAGTACACCTGATAAACAGCCTAGGCTCCTACTAGCTGTATCCAAAGACACCTTGAGTTTCTGCAAATATAATCATGAGAAAGCATATGTCATACCAGCTCTTCGACTGTCAGCCCTATAATGTTACCTGTTGTGCTAGCACACAGACATTTTCTAAGTTGGGTGACTTGCAATGCCTTAGCTTACTCAGTACAGGATAGAGCTAAAACTCATTTCCCATGGATTTACGGTTCTGTGTCTAAAGTATATCCAGTTTTTGGTGTAATGGTACAGCTAAAAGGCACAGTAGTCATTTTCTGGGAGCATAGGAAAAAGATGCATGCCAGGGAAAGAACTGTAATTCAGATGGGGAAGTTTCAACTACGCACCTGTGGTATATATGGTCTCCTTTAAAATTTGCTTACTTAATACTGAAACCAGAGGAGATGGTTATACAGTGGAACTGAGACATGCTGGGCATGTCTTGGGAGCTGGGGCCATCTCTGGTAGGAGAATAATCCCCACCATGTAAATATAATGCCTGGTTTCTGGCTCAGGTGAAAATGAAAAGCACCAGTTAAGATGGATTTTGCATGCGAGATGCCTGTCAGTGAGCGCCAGGATCTTCTCAATACCTCTGCCTGCAAATAGGACCTTACGTGTAATTATTTATAGTAATAAATCAGCAGAGTTGACAGACTCCTGCTTGCAGGTATCCTAAGTTTTTTATAGGACAACCCTCAAAAAAAACCCAGATTACAGGTATGATCTATAAATGTATAATCTATAAACTGCTGATGAGTAACATCTGGGGTGACAATGGAAATGTTAAATGACAGTTTTTAGCCTGTCAATCTCACAGTATTATCCTGATTCACAGTAACAACTTCTTATTCCAACCCAACAGCAATACAGATGTGCACACGGTGGCATCACTGCTTAAGCTGTACCTAAGGGAACTCCCAGAACCAGTCATACCATACGCAAAATACGAAGATTTTCTTTCCTGTGCCAAAATGCTCAGCAAGGAGGAAGAAACGGTGAGTTGCCAACTTGAGTAAGACAAAATGAAAGGCTGGCATGTTATAACCTGTTCTGATTTTGAAGAGGAGGGAAGCTGGTGATTACCTATCCTAATTTAAGATGTGCGTCTATTAATTGAGGCTGTTTTTATATGAAAATTGTTGCCACCTAGGTCATTTGGAAGTCTAAATAAAGGCACATACCGTAACCTTAGCTGTATTTATTGCATGCCACTGAATCCAGTTCAAGTAAACATCGTTGTGGTCAGTAGCTTCCATGTTGCATGAAAAGAGACTTGCATTTTCATGGATTATCATTCTGAACTGTAAAAGGAAGGGTCCTAGTAGTTGCTGTCCAACTCTTGCTATTAAATCAGGGGTCAGGATGCCAACTTTTACTGACTTTTGATTGAAGGCCAATGAACTCTATTCATTGCCTATCATTGAATCAGAAGGCCTCAAAAAGATGGAAGCCGGCCACCTTCCAGACTCTTTAAAAACAGCATAACACAGATGAGTAAAATAAGGGTCCTGACTCATCATACGTGCCCTGCAGTGGCATAGGCCCACTATATATTAGCCTGAAGACATAAGAAACTAAGTGCTTTTTTTACATCGTTCTGCATGCTTATGTGTAATGAGGTCAACCCTGACATTTTCTTTTCAAAGTAAATACAAATAGGCTCATTCTGTTGATTTCGGTCTACTCCCCTAACTTTCTAAGGTGATTATTTCTGTTTAATTCCTTTTTGACATTTCAAATCCTGCTAGAACTGGAACCCCTCCTTCCTAATTAATTAAGATGAGTAGGAGCCCCTCCTTTCTAACTGAGACCATCTCCTTTCTGAGCCTTCAGTTGATGACTACCAACAGCAGAGGTGGTAGTTGTTCCCATCTGATGGAATGGGGGGGTGGAGGGGAAGATCTGTGGCAAACTGTCTTCTATGGTCATAATCTCTTACACCCACTGAAATCAGACTGGTTTCTTCACTGTTCTTTACAGCTTGCTACAAGGTGCAAATTTTTGTCAGCTGCTTGCAAAAGGTGGGAGTGAGCTGTTCAGCTGGTTTAATTTGAGCTGCTCTTTGCACAAGTTATGGCAGAGGATCCTCAGAACTAAAGTTGCAGCAATTTGCTTGTGCGGGTTGCGTATGTCTCTAACCATTGATAGCTCCAGTGTAAAGCCACCTGACAGCTCCGCAGTTAGTCATCACACAGTTTATACTTGCAGCGATGTTAATTTTCAGATTAAATTTTTAGTCATTTTATATTGGCTTATTCCAGAGTGTATTTATGTAGTTCCTCTGCAACTATGCCCTGAAGCACTTTATTAAATTCATTTTGAAAGCAAGATTCAAATTACAGTGGTCTGTTGGTGCTGGCAGTTTGTGAAAAATCAATACTATAGGTGATGAGCCACTTTGGTCCTCTTTATGGTGGTTTAGCAGTCCAGCTAGAAGGCTGGCTGACTAGATTTTCAGTTGGTCTTTCTCCATGCAGAAGTTAAAAGTGCAGTCGCTGTTAAGGGAGAGAGCTGTGCATCTTGTTACCTTTCTTAGCCCACAACCAGCAAACTTGTGCGCTATCATGGTCCACCCATCTTGATTTCCATTTGTTTTCATAACGTATTGTAATCAAACCCCACTGATGCTCGCAAAGTACCAAACCCCCATACTGAAAGAGACTCTAAAGGCACTCGTTGG